ATGACAATACCTCTAATTACATGTACATGTGTTTGATGGTGTAGGTATTAATCTAAAGGTATCAATGGTTGATCTGTTAACTGGTGAAGTTGGACCAGCTGAACCAGTGAGAGGAGAAGAAGGTTGGACTGTTGAAGAATTAAAAGAACATATAGGAGAAGTAAGAGGAAGGATATACTGTCATTTATATTGTTCTCCCTCTATTGATCTGGTCCAATTTTTTATTTAGGAATTTAATATCAATCCATCATGTATGAGAGTAGCAATGAGAGGACAGGAGCATTACCAGCTTGGTACATCAGTCCATGATATTAGTGATGCAAAAAGTACTTTAGAGAAGGTACTCTATGGAGCATACAATATCAGTTCATACATTATGCTATCCCATATAGTGAGGGATCAAATGGCTCCACATCCACACAAGTTTTATTTGTAGATTTAATTTTTACAAAATGAATCCAAGTATTTAACATCAATTTTTACAGATTTAGTTCATGAATCTCAACTCTGCAAATCTGCAAAATAATTATGACACAAAATTTACATGCATGTGGGACTACCGTATAAGATGATTTATTGGCCGGAGTAATATTTAGCAAATTTGCCTGTGGAAAGAAATTGGTGGATTTTATATTGGCGATTTTGTGCCACGTGCCATTGAGCATGCTCAGATTGAAAAAAATAGCGGATTTTATATTGGTGATTTCTTCATAGAACTGCCAATTGCCAATATTAATTCCTCGCCAATAAATCATCTTGTATGGTATTTAAATGATTTCACTTTCATTTATTTGAACATTCTTTTCTCCTCTCTCTCACACACAGTTACATACTCAGTTGCTGTTTATATCATCAGATCTTAAAGATTATCAAAAAGAATTCAAAGATAGTTTGATGTACAGATATGTTGATTTTCACGTCAACTCGATAACACTTAACATTACAATACCTCCTGGACCTGAAGCCACACCCACTAAAACTAATCTAAATGTAACTGAAGGAGGAACAATAATGAAAACTATATCAATAAATGAAGAAAATAAAGGAAAAGAAAGAAGTAATATTAACTTGTGTTATAATAAAAAGATCATTATTTACATTATTATTATTCAATACAGGGATACAGGTACAAGTTAGTAGCAGTATAACATTAGCTCAATTGAAGGAGGAGCTAGTTTCACTGATTGGTGTACCACCTACTGGTTTTATAGTGTATGGAATCGGCAGTTATGGAGACTATGAAATGGTAGAACTGGATCAGACACTAAAGTATATTGGCTCTGGATCAGAGGTATAGCCTTTATTGTGTTATTTGATTCACTTCTCCTTTCCATCATACACTACTATAAGTACTAATAACACACACACACTCATCTCTTTATTACTTTGTGTATCTACTAGTTGATAGTAAGACTGGGTAGAGCAATATTACAAGAAGGAGAGAAACGAATTAAATTATATTTATTGCAAGTTAATAATACAGAGGTATAAGAATATTAATGATTATATAATTTATATTATTATTTATTTAATTATTAGTTTTGTAGTTTTATGATGGAGTCTATTGTTACTAAGGATACAACAGTGGGAGAATTTAAGAAACAAATTATTGAAGAAGCAAAAGTACAAGGAATTGACTGTGTCCTTGAATTAGACAAGTAAGTACATCATGTGACTATCATGTGACTATCATGTGACTTATTGTGTAGAATGAGATTACGTGGCAAGAAGGGAGTGTCCCCTAGTACAGTATATCTTGATGATGAGGTCATTAATGCTAATAAGGACATATTATATGTGGAATCATTGAAAGGTCAGTGTATTTTCAGTATACTGTACGTTACATGATGTATAATTTTATTGTTAGTATATTAATTACTATATTATTAGGACCAGAGAAGATGAAGCATGCAGCACAGGTTCAGGTGTATGTGGTAAGATGGCGTCCATCACAATGTTCAGTTGATCCAATAGAAGAAATTATACTAGATAATAGATATGATCCTAAGGATTTTATTGGAAAGGTATTATTTGTAAAAATAGAAATTATAATAAAGAACATTGGACATGTATCAGTACGTATCACATTATTATTGCTATTGTTTTACAGCTGTCAGAGTTAAGTGGAGTACCTGCTGAGTATATCTATTATACAGAGGTTAATCATTGAAAAATATTGATAATATGAATATTGCCTTTTTCTCTCTCTCTATTAGGGACTATTATTTCCAGTTGGGATATCATGTCTTGATATTGAGAATAAGTTTAATTGGTATTCCATCAGTTCAGTTAAAAGATCCTCATTAGGACTATATGATGACGGACGTGTCCTATATTACAAGTACTAATGAACACACACACACATTATGTATACACACACACTTACATACACCTCTTACTGTTTATAATTATTTAGAGACAAAAGAGAGACAATGAAAGAGTTAACAGATAAAGAGATCAGAAATACATAAGGCAGAGGCAGCAAGGTCAGTAAACCTCATGTATCATCATGTACATGTACTATCAGTTAATGTAATACCTCATCACTTACACCATTTATTGTATTGTAGGTTGGAGAAGATTAGGGAACGTGGCATACAGCATGGAGATAGTATAGGACTGACTGAATGGATTGGTTTAATTTCTAAGCATCACATTAATTTTTATTTTTTGTAATTACAATGATGCAATCCTGCAAAGAATTACTCACTATGTAATAATTTTAAAATGATTTTATAAATATAAATTTCCTAATACATTGGCTCACTAGGTCATTTCTCTTAATGCTCAATCAATGCTATTCACAGCATCATCACTCATATACTGAAACGAACTATCTCTAAACAATTTCTCACTTAGCTCTACTGCAATTGCTGGCTCCTACAATTGTTGTAGCAACACTGAATGGTCACCACTTACTTAACTATATATATTTCTTTGATTCTCTTGCTCTTTAAACCTATTATTTACATGTACTCTCTTTCCTTTCTTTTTCTCCCTCTCTCTTGCTTTTGATTTACTGGTTTGCCAGACTTTTTGGTTCTAATTTTAGTAGCATCTTTTACTCTGTGTCTGAGCCTCTCTGATTTTTATCACTATTAAATTTAAATAATTATTTTGACCATTAGGTTGCATTTCAAAAAAATAGAACTGACTGAATGGATTGTTATATTGCAATAATTTTTGTAATAATTGCAATCCTCCAACTACATTGTATGTAATAATTAATTTTTAAAATGCTTTCATAAATAGTTAATTTTGTATAGTTAGTAGTTCTTCATTGACTCCATTAGTTGCTAGTCCCCAGAGTGAGTTGGCTATATCCACATGATCACATTTACTGATATCAAATGAAAAGGACTCAATCTCTCCATCATCTCTCCTCATGACTGGCAGCCATTTGGAATTAAGGAATAAGAGAATAATAATAATAAATATTTATAATAAAATAAGTACATGTACTATAATGCTAAAGTATAATCATATCACAGTTCAATGTAATACTGTAGTATAGTGTGGATCTACTTTAGTGAGGTGTATGGTTTACATGTATTGTATGCAACTGTGAAATGAAGGATTATATTTTGGCTCTGAGATCACTCCAATGTATTACTGATACATATTGATGTACATGTACTGGTATGTTAAGAGGATACATCCTTGAACAGTATCAACTGTTGAAGATTCATTGAAATGAACTGGTAGACTCTTCTTTTGTAGTTTAAACTCATATCTATAATATTAATAAAATAATAAATAAATAAATAATTAAAGATAAAGTAACTATATGTACATAGTCTTTGGCCTATGCTAATTGCTGGTCAAACCAAAAATATTAATAAAATAATAAATAAATAAAATAATTTAATTAAAAACAAAGTGATTACATGTACATAGTCCTTGGCCTACACTAAATTAATTGCTGGTGAGACTAAAAATGACTAAAATAATAATTTTAAAGTTGCTATTATTACAAATCCACACATCATAAGATATGAAGCTACTAGTGGATCATAATGATGTGTGTGTATACACTTACTTGATACACTCTCTGTCTTTAGTCTTTTGCATTAAAGTCTTTAATAATTGTTTCTCAACTCTTAGACTCTCAGTCAGCTCCTCAACAGTTTCATGAGCATTTCTTTACAAAAAATAAATAAAACACATAATAATAATAATGAAGCATTATTAGGCCATGCTTTTTTCC